AACCGGGCAAGAATATCGGGACTATGAGTTCCCTGACCCCGAGGGCCCTGAGGTTTTGTGGGCCAAGATCACGCCCAACCGATTGCCTCGGGGTTATAGCTGCCTTATCATTGGTACAGTATACCATCCTCCACCACCTGCCAAAGATGAGCCCCTCCTTGATTACATGATGGATTCTCTCTCTAGGATAGAGAGTGATATCCCTGGCGCAGGTATAATTCTCGCTGGCGACTGGAACAGGGCAAATGTTTCACCAGTTATTAAGCAGTTCCGCCTCACGCAAGTCGTCCATTTTCCAACAAGAGGGAATCGTACACTCGACAAAGTGTTAACTAATCTTACAGAACACTACGAGAAACCTTCTCCATTCCCGCCATTCGGACTATCCGATCATTGTACTGTTGGTTTGTTTCCAAAAATTAGATCGAAGGCCAATATTCCTGCATACAGAACGGTTACTACACGTGCTGTTAACGCTGAGTCCAAACAGGCTTTTGGTCGTTATATGACGGGGGTCGACTGGTCATTAATCGACACTATAGATAGCGTCCAAGAACAGTATGCTCACTTCAGTCACCTAATTCACATAGGGTTAGATTCTATCCTTCCCAAAAAGCGAGTTAAGTTCCACCGAAACGACGCACCATGGATTTCACCCAAACTCAAGGCACTTATAGCACACCGTCAAAGAGCATATTACCAAGACAACAAACCATTGTTCCACTACTACCGGAACAAAGTAAACAGGGAACGGAAGCTCTGCAAACGCTCTTATTACAACACTAAAGTCAGCGTTTTGACCGAAAACAATCCTAAAATGTGGTGGTCCGAATGTAGGCGGTTATGTGGAATGAACAAAACATCTACAAGTGTCGCAAATCAGCTCCTAGCAAGTAAACCAGCTACCTCAATCAACCTTAAGATCTTGGCTAATGAAATCAATACAGCTCTGCTGGAACCTCAAGCTTCGTTTGACCCACTTTTAGATAATATCGAAACTGTGAGCACTGAGGGTTTTAAAAATCCCATTATTTCACTGGAAGCTACCTTCAAATGCCTTAGTACGGTCATCTCCTCCAAAGCTGGGGGCCCAGATAATATCCCAAACTGGGTCTTGCGTGACTTCGCTCCTGAACTCGCTCAACCCCTTCGTTGTATCATCAATTCCTCTATTAGTCAAGGCACTTTACCGGACATTTGGAAATGTGCAAACATCACCCCTCTTCCCAAAACAAAGATAGTTGAGGATGCGGCGAAGGATTTGAGACCTATTTCATTGACGCCAACGTTGTCCAAAATTGCCGAACACTACGTCGTCCATGAACATGTGAAACCAGCACTTCTAAAACGCCTGGAACCCGATCAATTTGGGTGTATTCCAGGATCCTCCACTGCGCACGCATTAATAAATCTGATGCACAATTGGGCGCAAGCAACAGACGGAACGGGGAACACCGTGCGAATCTTTGCGTTGGACTATAGAAAAGCCTTCGATCTGATAGACCACAGCCTCTTGTTATCGAAACTCTCGACCTACAACATTAACCCTTACATCATTAATTGGATAATAGCCTTTCTTAAAGATAGGAAACAAAGGGTCAAACTTGCACATGATTGTCTCTCAGAGTGGGGATCGGTCCGAGCAGGAGTACCGCAGGGAACAAAATTGGGACCGTGGCTATTCTTGGTTATGATAAACGATTTGAAAGTACCATCAGCCAGTGATTGTATAAAATATGTAGATGACACGACAGTGTATGAAATCATAAGCAAGGGTGGTCCTAGCAATGCTCAGTCTATGATAAACGAAGTAGCTACCTGGTCAACACTCAATTCATTTCAACTCCATCCGAAAAAATGTAATGAGCTAAGAGTTTCCTTTGTGCGCTCCCCTCCTTCCTACGATCTGATAGAAATTAATGGCTCTAAGGTTAGTGCCGTTAGTGTCGTAAAATTACTGGGTGTGTATTTTCAAGACAACCTCAAGTGGAACACTCACGTTACTGAGACGATTAAAAAGGCCGCTAAGCGCCTTTACTTTTTAACTCAGTTAAAGCGAGCTAAGGTACCATCACCTGAATTAGTTAATTTTTATGTTGCTTGTATTCAATCTGTCTTACTTTATGGATGTCAGGTCTACCATTATAGCCTCCCCAATTATTTGAGCTTAGGTTTAGAGCGTGTCCAAAAGAGAGCCTTGAAAATTATATACGGTTATGATAATCATTATAGAGAAGTGCTTCAGATGGCAGAGCTGAAAACCCTAAGGGATCGGAGAGAAGACCTTTGCTTAAAATTCTTTAACAACATCGTCTCCAATCCCTTGGATTGTTTGTACCACTTACTGCCTTTCGATAACCGAGGTCAACTTATGGAGTTACGACAACGCAGACCATTTAGAGTTTCCTTTAAAACAAATCGGTTCAGAGATACTTTCATTCCGGCAAGCGCAAGACATTTTAACTAACATTTATTACAATTGTATATGTAAATTAGTTCCCTTTTAGGTTTGATTTTATTGTATAGTTCTATTACATAATTTGTACACCTTTGCAATTCAGCTTCCAGCTGCTATTAAGGTATTCTTCTCAATAAACGTCTATAAAAAAAAGGAAATACTCCTGGTCACTTTGAGTCCCGGAAATGCTACTCCAGTTATACACAACTTGGCCTTGAACTGACATTCTTTTTAAATTTGTATTTTACAACCAATTTCTCAGCTTCCACTATTCCCTTTCCTACAATACAAATGACCACAGAGGTTGAAGAGACTACATGATGGTTGTATTTGTGGCTATTTAAAGTAACCGTCCAATCCCTACCCTTGATTGTTAGCAGTGGAGTTAGTCCACTGACAATTCAGGTAGGTTCATGGTAACAGGCTCAGCTGTAGGCATATGCAACTACTCTGCCCATGCTGCCATTTACGGCAGTTGTTTTATGGACTTAAGGACCCTTTGTCTTTCCTTTCACTCACAAGTACCTGAAATAGAGGGTCCTAGCCCCTTTAAATTCTAAATAACAAACCATGAAAAGGCAAGGAGCATGAAGTAATTAATCAATCCCATGTTGCAGTCAGATATTTGTTCATACTGTTTACTGTGGGTAATGGTGCAAAGCTAAACATTACTATCAGCAGCTACTCGATTTTATTTGAAGTATTCATATTCACCATTTTTACAACTTCTCTCTTGTTATCATTTTAATTAAGTTTTGACCCTAGTGAAATCACACACTCGTTTAAATGTCACCATTAGGCAATATATTATTGTTACTTACAGTATTAATGTACACATTTTTGTACATTAGAATTCAATTCACTTAAACTTTTCCCTCTTGCAATAAAAAACAAAAAGAAATTGATAACAAAAAAGTAAATAATCTACTGCCATTTTGAAGCTTCTTTACAATCATTGTGTTGAGTATAAAGTGTAATAAATCTAAATGCTTCAAATGATGGCTTCAAAATTTTCTAAATTACTGAAACCTCACAGAATATACCCCACAACAAGGTGAATTTTGCTACAATATGAAAGGGCTTGATAAATGATATAATATTGGCCCTCTTGTAACAGGAATCAAACATTCAGCAGAAGACTTAAACTATGAGAATTTCACAACACAAAATTCCCAGGCTGCATAGTATGGAATTTGCATATAAGTCGCATTGTTTACATAATGCCCACCAAATTTTAAGACCACACATGCCTAATTATCTTAGGTTAACTAAACACATTATACACCACACTTTAGCAATTTAAACAGCTTATTACCTACTAATCATTTGATTATTATAAATAAATTAATTTGTTGTTCTGCAGCTGATAGCTAAAGTTGTAAAAGGCTGGAAATTCACTTTACAAAGATTCAACTTTCTGTTAAAGGGGGCGCCATCTCCAAGCTTGTTGCTAGTCGTGTACTGAGTGCACTCATCTCCTCAACTTTGTTAGCAAGCTCTTGTTGCAATTCAGTCAACTCTTTCACACGTGTTTCATTTAAAGCTGTCTCATTCATGTGCAAGCTCATCTCTTCTGTTTTTAACTGCAGTCTTTCATTATCAAGTTGTAATGTCTAAAGGAAACAAATAACAAGTTATTTGTAAATAAATGCTCTCAACCCAAAGATGAATTACTAGCTAAGGGTTCATTTTGCAAGCCTCCTGCCCAAGATGACCCAGATTTCTTTTGCCACCTTTCTTTTGGACAATACAGTCTGCTTGCTACTGAACCTCTAGATGGGATACTCTGCCGCTGATAGCTTGCAAGTAGCCCTCTGTTTGGATGACCTTTAACCCTTGAGGATAACTAACCTCTAATTTCTCAGTGAGGTATCACTGCTGAATCAAACATCAGGCTCGTGAGAATTAAGGAAATGGTTGCAAACTTGAAAAAACTCAATCATTCACTAAATACTAATTGTTGGTGCCATAGGAAATGTATAAAGAACAAAACAGGGAAAAGGCCATTTTTAATCACTGAGTTTGTGACCAACCTGGTTCTGGTTTGTGAGTTCTGCCTTTGCTTGTCTCAAAGAGGTGATGTCCTGCAAAGTAAGGAAACAAAACTGGTATTATTAACCAAAGAAGGCTTTATGAGGAGTTTTAAGGTGAACTGCAAAAGGTCACTTCATGTGATGGCAAGGTTTGACAGAAACAGAATATGGTTCCTTGTACACTATCAAGATGTATAAAGATGCCTCCCGGTTAGCTCAATTGGTAGAGCGCCGGACTGTTGTGCGGGAGGTCGAGAGTTCAAATCCAGCCAGACCAACACTCAGAGTCTTTAATTAACTGAGAAGAAAGTGCTGGCTTTTGTAATAATATCTGCAAATGGTTAGACTTTCTAGTCTTCTTGGATAGGGACGATAAATGGAGGTCCTGTCTCCTGCAGGGTTGGGGTAGGAGACATTAATTTCCCACACACGAGATTACTGTGTGATGGATGTCCTCCCCGGGGTGGGATGGGTGGGTAATAAAGGGGTTAGGTGTCAACTGGAACGAAAGTTCTGTTCCTCTCTACTGCCATTCCTGTGGCGAATAAATTAAACTAGACTATAGATAACCATACTTGAGTATACAGGCAGCATGCTGCATTCTAACAATATACAGTGTTTTGCCTCTCTCACCTCATCCTTCTGTCTGATCATGCTCTCAAGCTGAATTACACGGCCATCCAGGGTGAGTTTCTCTTGCGTCAGGGAATTATATTTCTCACTTAGTTGGTCTGAAGATTCTAATTCATGGACCTTTTAAGAAAGGAAATATCTATAAGCTAATAGTTAAAATGCCTCTGCTATTAAACACCAAGTTTACCATAAAAAATTGATCACAAAAAAACTTGGAATGTTCTTAAGGTATTTTAGAAAGCTCACCTTTTTCCTGAGTTTACCATTTTCCTCCTTGTAGGCATTAAGCTGCTTCTTCCACTCTTCAACGTTAGCTGTGCTTTCCTGTAGGGCTGCTGTTAACCTTGCATTATTATTCTTCAATGTTGTCAGCTCTGCCTCCCATTTTTTAGCATTGGCTGAACTGCAGTAACATTTATGGAGTTAGATTCACACACACATGACCAGACTCCTTCATCAGAGTAATTACTGTGTTGCAATAAACATTTGGCAAGAATTCTAACTTGTGTACTGGTGATTCTTTGTGCTTTACTGGACCAAAGGTTTGCATTCCAATGCATTTCACAGATAAAAGTACCAAACTTTCATTTCACCTACCTTTGAGCTAGAGCCATCTTCAATCGATCATTCTCATACTTCAAATGAGATTCGGTGTTTCCAATCGGTTTATGACTGATCCCAGCTGATTCTTTTGATTCATCCTAAAATTTAATTCAGTTTAAGATGATCTCAACCACCTCAGCTTGACAACAATGCAGTGTAAATACCGACAGATTTCCCTTACCATAATGAACACTTCGCCACATCTAGTAAGTAAAATTTTCTTATCCTACTTCTAAAGGGTGTAAGATAAAGCTATATGTAGGAGCTGATTGAATTTGAAGTACTTAGAACAGTTCTAGCCACAAACACAAAAGAACTAGTAGAGGTGACTATATTTGAGTCATGCCCAATTTCACAGAATGTCAGACCTCTATAAACTTTTGAAAAAATTTCTTAAGCACTTAAACATATATCTTCCAACCAAAACTGGAAGGACAAAGGAATCCCATGACAAGAACATTTAGTTATGTGCACTGTACCCTGTTCTTAAATAAAATTAATGGCTTCAATATGTCTTTTAAGAAAACAGCCAAAATTTACACAGTCATGCAAAACTGCGCTATGTATACAGGAATTGAGGAATGTATAATATTTAGAATTTTGTGAATGTACCTTTACAGGAATTTTCATTTTAAATGATGCTGGTAAGGATACTTTTCTTTTCACAAACTTTTCCATTTTGTTCCTCTCAACTCAACAGAAGCCACAAAGTAAGTTGATGTGATTCAGAAAAAAAATCTCATATCTAGGATATGTGCCTTGAATGATGATATAGCTACTGAAATTATTAAGTATTTTTAGTAGTATTGCATAGGATGCATAGAAAGCCTTTTGTTAAGTAACTAATCATAACAAGTCATCTGTCACACATGACAACAATTATTGGCCTGCTGTGATTTTTAAAATATGTTGATGTATGAATATACACAAAGATGTGAAACCAACTGTTTTAAACATGCAACTTATGAACCTCTACAAACTCAAGTTTGGCAAAGAAGTGTCCTCTGCAACAATCATGAATCATTAAGAATTAGACTTTAATTTGTCTTTTGAAAATTATTGTTTTGAAAATGGTCATGACAATCTGTCATGACCATTTTAAAACATCTGCAAGGAAATAATTTGAAAAGCTTCAATTATCTAGCATCAAAAATTTGCCACATTGTATTTTTTAAGTGAAATTATGGTCATTGATTTCATTGTTGCAACTGAGGGGGGTAAATAAAGTTTTGTAGTTGAAATTAGCTTGAGTCCATTTAAGTAAACTTTACCATAAAAATATGGTTGTTATAACAAAGGTGCGTCAAAGCATTGTCAGGTCAATAAGTCGAAATGTTATACGTGTAGTAGCCAAAATGCCTCAAAGAATCACATTTAAATGCAAAGAGCTTTCAGGTCTTCTGTTTACTAGATAGTTTTCATCGGCACTTTGGTGTCAAGAAAACAGCCGTTCAACCATAACTTCTAACCAGGCCAATATTTTATTCAATTGATGATAAAGCAAATCTCTAACTGAAAAGGAGACATTCAAATATGTTATATTTGTAAGATACCATTGACATTCACAAGACAAAGAGACTACTGTCACATCTAAAACAGGTAAGAAACTTTTAAAAAGCACAAACTAGCCCTCCAGGTTAACAAAACATAAAAAAAAGATCAATATCAGAAGAGCACAAAAACTTGAATAACTCATTTCATCCTAAATTGGAAAAACATTCAAATTTTATCAATGGCAGAATCCATTTTTAAAAACTATGGACTTCTCAATTCTTCAAACAGTCAGAAACAATTCAATTCTAGATCACAAAATTTAAGGTAAGCTACCTTAAATAAGATTGCTTGTTGTAAGTTATATAGTTGTACAGCCAATTTCTTTCAAAAAGCACACAATTTCGAGCAGACTTTTGTACTAGGGTTTTCAGAAATAGTATTAAAGTTGTGAAAAAAAGCCTAGCTGATATAAAAACTGCTAATCAGAAATTAACTTCATTTTCCCATTGCTTAGTATCAATCAAATAAGTTTTCAAACAGTGGGATGTCATAGAAAAACTTAAGAAAAATAAAAAGGAACAAAGAAAAATTGCTAGAGTAAAATTTCAGGACCCTTAATACAACTTTGGCAGTGAGTTCATGGCAAACTTAACGAAAAAAGAGACATATTTGAAATTCTTTCTGCATGGTCAGAAGTTTCTGTTACACCTCATATCTTTGCCAGATCATCTGATCACTATTTAACAAGATTAATAAAAATAATATAAACAGAAGCTGTTTGATGACAACATTCTCCAAAAAATCTAATTGATGGGCATCTTTATAGTCACATTCTCAGTAACCTCCTAAGAAGGAAGCAAAGGGTTTATATGTGACATGTTATTAAGCCCAAAATTAAAACATGACGTGAATTTCTACAGAAAGGCAAGGTAAGGTCAGATTTGAAGATTTTTTCTTTCAAGTTTGTGATGTGTGAAATATTTTTAAAGTAGAGGTGATGCCTGAATTTTTCTAAAACTTGGGTGTGAAACTTAATTAAGGATCCCTCTTTGCTAACTCCTAACACATGAATATTTTTGTACATACCTCACCACTGCTGGCAGATGAGTTACTTTTTACTGATGGTGATTTGTGACCAACACCAGGTGTGCTGTGAGGGGACTCTGCTGTTCCATTTACGGACCCACTTGATGTGCCATTAGTAGTAACTGCATTGACAGGTGCTGGAGATGAATTGGAGTTACCATTGTTGTTGCCCACAGCTGCTTTTGAGCCACCCTTAGCTTCTTTGAACTTCTCTGCAAACTAATTGTCACAAGAGGTGATGTTAAAACTAAATCTATTAGGTTCAGCTTAAGCTCTTATGTACAGACTGTTGCAACCCCACAATTCTAAAGAGGATACTAGAGTCTACAAGGTTTAAGCTTTCATTCCTGACTTTATTCAGTTTGTTGGATGACAAAGTGCCCTCGTGGTTTGAACACAGAATAGGATCCAGACTTTTTGCAGTTTTGTATGCAGAGTTAACTTCCAAAATGGCAGTTGAGACAACTTAAACACATCTAGAAGTAAAGAACCCTGAGGCTTTTACTTGGAATTTTAGAACACAAAATCAGAGAGCAGACTTTCTTTTCTAACCTTGTTGAGTTCAGCTTCTGATGGAAATCCTAAACCAAATACAGTGTTTGCCCTGGGATCTGACCACTGGCCAAACTTCTGTGATGTCTTGGTGAATGTCATGTTTGGTAATACAGTACTGTTGATAATTACCTGAAAAGGGATGATAAAAACCTTTTAGTAACTTGACAAACCAAAATTAACCCGAGAAAGAATATTGAATCTCTACGTCATACACAAATTTACTTTCCAATATTTTGTCCCTAAATTCTCTCATCAGGAAAGAATATCTGGTAAAATTTGACTTTGATGTGTTAGGACACACAATATAACCTTCTTAAAATTCATATCCAATCGGGGTATTTGTGAGAAAATTATAACATATGATATTTAACAATTATTCACCGAAGGCAAGGTGAATATCGTCGAATAATCCCCAAGACGAAGTCGAGGGGATTATTCGACAATATTC